ACAGCTCACCACTCAACATATCGAGCGTCTGACTGCCTTGAGAGTAGCTAACATATCACGAACACACACACACACACACACACAAACCAACATTTCAGTCTCTCATTGCTGCAAGCCATTACCGTGCTGCATAGCCTCTCTACCCTTCATTACACTAGAGAGCTCTACAGACCGCCGTGTGATATATTGCGTGTTTGTTCACACATCTTCTACCTTAACACGCCCCGATTCAGACGTATTTATCAGGCGCAGGCTACAATTACTGGTAGGACCAGCAAGCAAAACCACCTGCTCAAAAGAACCAATCAGTCCCAGACCAAGATGGATTCATCAAAAGTATTTAGAGCATCAGTGAGAGTAGAGAGGATGTAGAGGCTAGACAGAGAACGATGAAGATGAGGATGAGTCTCAACTCACATTTCACAAAGCCATTACTGGGCAATCTGCCCCTGCAATTTCTTCAATCTCACCCAATCAGACCCTGGCGTGGTAAGAGAGAGCTTGATGATGACTCACATTGCTAATGTGAAGATGAGTTTCTGCCTGTGTGTGTGTCGGCGGGCAGGAAGATGTTCCAGACATCTAAACGTCTCTGATCTGGAGTGTTGTTTTGGCTGGGAATCAAGAGAAGCTAATTTATTTTAAATTTACTTCAAGCGGCTCTTGATTGCCAGCCAAAACAACAATTGTTGATGTTAAATAAGTTTTGGTAAAACAAAGACTCAGCAGTACGCAGATAATAAATATTTTCTATAGCGTGGAGTTGTTTGGTGTCAGTGGACCTTAGTGTGGTGGGGTTTTTTTGTAATTTGCGAAAGTTCATTCCAATTGATTGTTCCGTTTTAAAGTCGGAAGTCTAAGTCACATCCAATTCATAATCAAAGTTTTCTGAAGTTGCTTGTCCTCTGAATTTTTGGATAGTATTTTGTATGTCTGTCATTGTATAAATGCACATTCGTTCACATTTAAAAATCCACAAACATTCAACTCAAAGTAATAACTATCACAGTAGTAGTCTGTTAGTTAAACTACATAAAAAGGTAGAGAACAAAAAAATGAGGAACCATGTCAAGAAATAGGCTGCTGTACCAATGGTCCTTCAACATGAAGAGTAAACAAATCTAGTATTTGTGTATGTATTTTTGAGAGCAAATTAGCATTTTTACAATTCTCATGACAGACTCTTAAAACACAGAAACTCATAAAAAATGTAAAGTTCTTTGTGATTGAAGTTCCATGAAGAACCTTTAAAATTCACAGGACATTTCAAGTCCACAAAAGGTTCTTCAGATTATTAAAATATTCTCAGAGGAAAAAAAAATAAAGGTTCTTTTTAGAACTGTTCACTGAACAAACAATGGTTTATTGCATTGCTTCAACATCGCTTCAGTCATCCAGTTCATAATCGAAGTTTTCTGAAGTTGCTTGTCCTCTGGAGATTTTTTTGGATAGTATTTTGTACGTCTATCACCTTATATAAATGCACATTCGTTCACATTTAAATATCCACAAACATTCAATTAAAGCAATAACTATCACATTGGTAGTCTCTTTGTTAAACTAGTACATCTTTTTTTTTTTTTAAGTACTTTAACTTGTTGGGTCTATTCAATTTTATTTGTCATGGTACCACATGCAGGCACACGGATCTGCATTATTTTATTTGTATTTATTTTTTTTTTTTACTCGCATTTACCCAATTCAGAAAGTGTATAGTTCACTCATTTCTCAGCTTTAAAATGCACTATTGTTTGTTTGTTTCTTACTCCCTATAAGGCCAGAAACCTACTTATATATATGCTACTTTAAGCAAACAGAATTCTTTTCCAACACATTCTAAGTGTTTTTGTGGTGGCAACAAACCTCAAAGGGGGCGACAGAGTTTCTTTCTAATCTCTGCACTGTTAAACCAAATGTTGTTTTTGTGATAAGCCTGCTCGGCCATATTATTTCAGCTTACTTTTTTAAATAACTATGTTTAACAGCAGAATTTCTGGAAGGAAAACCAACAAGCAAATTGTGCAAACCTTGTTGTTAAATTAAGCACTACATCACTTGCTCACCAATTAATCCTACAGTGAATGGGTGCCATCAGAATGAGAGTCCAAACAGCTGATAAAAACATCACAATAATCCACATGACTCCATCAGTTAACATCTTTGAAGTGAAAAGCTGCATGTTTTTAAGAAATAAATCCATAGGAGTCCAAAATAATAGTCCATAATCCATAATAACGCTTCGTCCAGTCAAAAAGTCCATCCCCTGTTTTAATCTCACATCAAAATGTATTTATCTTGTAAACAGTGCTTTATCTGTGCATATTTCTCTGCTTATTCAGATGAGACAACATTTTCACTGGAGAAAACAATATTATGGTTGGGGGACAAGCTGTATGGACTCATTCTGACGGCACCCATTCATTGCAGTGGATCCACTGGTGAGGAAGTGATGTTTTAGGTGAATTGAACTCTATTATGTAAACAACCTTATGATTGGCTAAACTCACTGTACTCGTTTTTTTTTCTTTTCGTCATGTTGACAAAAAACCTTTTAATCAAGCTTCCCCTTTAATTAGCACTGCAAACCTACATATTATTCAAAACCATAAAAGGAAAAAATGTTGCATTCTGAAACAGCATCACATATGTTATGCTAAATATTGTTGTGCACAAGTTCACGAAAGCGATTTATTTTCTGGAAGTGTTTTTTACATCCCAGATGGAGGGATAAAGTTGTGTGTATGTCTTGGCTCGACTCACAGTGTCGCAAGTAACCAGCCGGGTTGTGTTTGTGAAGGTGTCAGACAGAAGATCTCAGTCTCTATCACTCAGCACCGTCCACTAGGACATTTCGCACACACAAACAAACACGTGACACGCACACTTACACACCTGCCTCACACTTCAGCATGACACCTATCACACCAATCTCTGCCCTTCATCTTCATTCTGGTCTCTTTGACTCTTGTCCCATATTGTCCTTCAGCGACTGTGAGATAGTGTGTGCACTGTGCTGTAATCTCTAAGAATGATACTGCAGGAAAAAAAAATAATAAAGAAATCTCTCCAGGCCGGAGGGGTTTACCAATCTCTGGCTGCTCGCAGAACTGTCCTGTCAGTTCGCTGCCATTCCTGTGACCTTAAAGTGGCCTTTGGGTGCTGAAGCATGTAGCTGTGAAATAGTCCTTAGAAGCACACACACACACACACATGCGTGGGAGCTTTCTTTCATATGCAGGTTTAATTGCATGTGGCCAGTCATTACGAGACGTCTTAAAGGGCACGGCTGCATGTCTTCAATAATAAATGTGACACTCTGTCAGGAACGCCACGGTCGATTAAGCAATTTGCTTTGTCAAACTATTACTATAAAGCAACATTACTTTACTTGAAATGATTGATCAAGTATTATTTTGCATTGTCACATTATTTGAAATTATAATTGAATGTTGCTATTGAATTAAATTTAGTATAAAATAAAATTATATTTGGTATAGTATATTATCATTTCTATAGTATAGTTGTATATTCAAATGGCAGTACAGGCAAGATAAAAGATTATGGTATCTCCTATCTTTGCTCTATTTATGACTTTGACATTTATTTATGACTGACTTTATTACTTTGACAGTTTATGACTTCACTTAATTATTACTCTTATGAATTAATTACTCGTGACTTATTTAAGACTATAATGATTAATTATAACTTATTCATTTTACTATTTATTTTTATTTCGACTTTTTTATTTATTTAACTATTATGTCTTATTTGACTTATTATATGATTTATTGTTACTCATTCATTTGACTTCTATTTTTTTTTACTTTAAGCTTATGACTAATAGCTTATTTTATCATTATAATGGCTGAGTATTTATTTATTTAGTTTATTATTTATGACTTTTTAATGACTTTTCATGACTTTGACTTATTAATGACTTAAGACTTTATGACATTAAATACTTTGATTTGATTAACTAATTCATTTATGACTGTTATATTGTGGCAATTTTTATGTTGCTGTTTGATTGATTTATGACTTATTTAATATTTTAATATGATTGATTAAAACTTATTAGTTTGACATTTGATTTATTTGAATATTTTTTTTATTTAAGACTATATATTTGCCATTTATGATTTCTTACTTTGACTATGACTTGCTTGACTTAAGACTTATATAATACTTTATTATGAATGATATATGATTGTTATAACTTAGTTTGATTATTTATTTGTATTTGTATTTATTTGTTGTTTATTTGTATGTTTATTGTTTACAGCATATATCTGTGTAAATGCCTCTGCCAACAAGGCGGGATATTTTCACTTAATGTAAATAGACACTCCGTTATTTTAGTGTTGTAAGTCTTAAAGTAATCTCCACTAGTTGCCTTGTTTTCAGCACATGCGCATTTGCACAAACGACAGAGCGGACAAATTAGTGCTAGTTAAGGCTCTTGGCTGCTGATGTGAAGGTTGTAGGTTCAGTTCCACATAGCAGGGGACCCTGAAACCCAAGAGTCATTGAGATCATTGCTGTAGTCCGTCACCATTGGGCTCTTGAGTGAGGCACTTAACCCAAGGTTGCTCCTGTGGGACTGATTCTCCCAGCAATTAGTGTACCGCAAGTCGCTTCAGATGAAAAGCATCTGCTAAATGGTGAGTAAATGAACATTGGCACTCCAGTATCCAAGACCCTTGTTGAGACCTGAATAATGTTACATTAGATTGTGAAATGTCTTTGAATTCTTCACCCAAAAGTGTTTTTTGAAGCTTGAAAGCTATAGTCTCCATACATTGCAAAAGCTTGGAAAAAAAAGCTACCAGCACATTCCTCAGTGTGTTCCTTTTGTGTCCCACAGAAGAAAGGCATACAGGTTTGGATCGACCTGAGGGTGAGTAAATGATGACAGCGTTTTCCTTTTTGTGTGAACTATCTCTTCAAGATCCCTGGGGTTCAGTGAACACAGAGTCGTTCTAATACAACGCCGAACACTGAAAGGTCAAATGAGATGAAAGTAAATCAACTTGATGTTGGCTTCTTATAGTAAGTCACCTTTATTCACATCTCTCAGATGATGCCCTTGACTTTGAGAAGAGGGGTGTGTTTTTGTGTAAGAGTTTGAGAGGGAACGAGAAGGGAAAAAAACACTCGCCCCACACACACACTGGCCAGTGTTAATTTGTACTGTTTTTGTGTTGGTCATAATTTTTGTCTTTTTATATATCATTAAGTGTGTGGGCTAAACTCTAAACTTTTCTGGCCTATTAATCCTTTAGAGGTCACATATATTTCCATTTCTCTCCCCCTCCTCAGTCTCACCTCAGGTTATTCCTTCAATGTGTGTGATACTTGACTTAGCCTATATAATCTAGAGACACATAAAACATAAAAAGCATGTTTTCAGTATAAAATACTGAAATAAATCAAATGCATATATAACTATAAATTCATTATATGAACTAAATGCATTTATTTAACAAAATATTTAATTTATTTCCTTTTTTCAACATACATTTTTTTTGTGTTTAGTTTTTTTTTTGTCTTGATAAAACTGTGAAAACATAATGTTATCTTATTCTATTATTATTATTATTATTATTATTATTATTATATTAACAAACTTTAACTGAAATATATATACATATATATACTTTATATATATATATATATATATATATATATATATATATATATAAAGTATCATCTGTAT